TTAAGTTGTGAAATTATTGTTTTCTCAATGGAGATACTTTTAGAAGGAAAAAAGATTTTTGGAAAAGAATCATTTTTTTTCCAAAATTGATTTTACTTTTTATTTGTTCCTCTTTAGATCAACAGCTTTTGTCTGGGATATTTTTCGAAAATGCACTTGTTCGAAAAATTCAAGTAATTAAAACGAAACATCCCCTATATACATTTAATGGAATCTATCACAATAAGTTACATTGTATGTGTATCGATAGCCTAAACTACAAATTATGAATATAATATGACTTCATCGTCAAAGTGGAATATTAGCTATCTCACAAAACTCTGTACTTAAATCTTCCCTAACATGACTAAAAAGTAAGATACCGAAATTTAAAATGCTTTTATAGAGATGATGAACAATACATTCATGACATCTAATCAGAATTTCTAGATAATGTTAACTTTTTTCACAAAAAGAACTCCGCTTCAAATACATAGGATTTTTAGTTTTTTATAGAATTTGCTGCATTTTTCCTAGTTATAACTTATGACTTGCTGAATAAAAGATGTCTTAAGAACAAAATATATTCTTAAGCTAAATATTGGATGGCTACTGAGTAACAGCTAGTCAAATATTGGCAGAGTCCGAGTTTTTTGAGTTTGACTGTAAACCAGTAACTGTCTATTATTTAGTTTTGAGACTGTTACATTTTTTGTTCAACAGATCATAAGTTACCATATGAGAAAACCAGTTAATTTTATTGGGATTTAATTTTATCTAGGATTTTATATATCAAAAATGCCACATTCGCATAAAATTGTTCTTGGTAAGATCAGCTGGTTTTCTCATATGTTGTGTAGTTTATGAAAAAAGCAGTCAATTCCATCCAAAGTCAAAATTCTATGTATTTGGTGCAGGATCCTTTCAAATATTGCAAAAAATGTAATTTTTGCATATTAAATCTCAATTATTTATAAACCGGACATGCTGATAAAAATTGGCTTACGCTATCGTTTCAGCATACAAAAATCTATAAGAAACACTCAGTCTGGTTTAAAATATTTAAAAAAAATTTTTTTGTAAACTGTTAACTGTTACAGATGAGATTAGGTATAAAACAGGCGACGCGACATAAAGCGCATGAGAGCGGACGTTTAATTTGAAAACATACAGCGAGTAAAGAAGAACGGAATGTTAAGAATCTTAAACGTTTAATGAAACATAATCGGTTAATAGGTCTCGCACATTCAGCCAAAGCCGAGTATCCATGTGCATACGCGGCGTCTCTCTTGTGCATTCCGCTTCGCTCCCGGATATTTTTATCGTTCCTATAAAACTATATGCATGTCTGTCAGACTTTTCTCGTTGCACGTGGCTTTGATCGCTGTGATGAAAAAGAGAATAATTCCAAATTCCATCATATTGGATCTTTTATGTATTTTAAAATATTTATTTTAATTTATATATGTAATGTTACTATACTAACAATTTTGTGTTTTAATTGGTGTATGTAAATACCATTAAAACACAAAATTGTAGTATAGTAACATTACATATATAAATTAAAATATATATATAATATATAAGATATACATGGTCTATTATAAAAGTAATGTGCATTTTCTAAGAAAAATATATTTATTGATCGTACCGGTGTAAATGCTTAAAATTCTTCAAAATACTCTCCCCAGCATCAATAACACTTGCGGAGACGTGTTTCTGCCATGCCTGGAAGGTACCCTGAAACTCCTCGACGGAATGTCTCTTATAGGAACGTTGTAACATGCTTTTGGATGTTTTACACGGACTCCCAAATTTCCTTTTCAGCTCTGTCTCTTTCTTCAGTCGGGGAAACAAAAAAGTCGCACGGAGCCAAGTCGGGACTGTAAGGAGGCTGGGGGATCACCGGAGTGTTGCTCCGAGCCAGGAAATTTGTAACGATGAAGGTCGTGTGGCATTGGGAGTCCGTGGAAAACATCCAAAAGCATGTTTACAACGTTCCTAAGAGACATTCCCGTCGAGGAGTTTCAGAGTGCCTTCCAGGCATGGTAGACACGTCTCCGCAAGTGTATTGATGCTGGGGAGCGTATTTTGAAGAATTTAAGCATTTGTACCGGTACGATCAATAAATATATTTTCTTAGAAAATGCGCATTACTTTTATAATGAACCATGTATATATATATTAAAGTAAAACCCAAAATAGCAAAACGGGGAGTTTTTATATTTCCATTTTATTTTGGAAAACTGCCTTTTTTAGAGATAGGCTGCCCAGATAGCACTATGTTCAAAATTGGTGCATAAAACATTATTAAGAAATCTTCAAGAAATCTTATGATGTGATATTCCAAAGACACCTTAAAAACATCTTAAAGATGTTTTGTGCAACAATTTGGAGATGGTGCTGTCTAGGTTATAAATTTGAATTAGAAAGATCATTTTTTTAGCTCTCAACGTGATTCAAACGATTTCTCGCGCGTTTGGTTTGGCAGTGTAGAATGATAAATGGTGGCCACCAGCAGCATGGTATATGAGGAGATAGTTGGTATACCGGGCAGCTGACCCCAGCCGCCGCGCACGCTTTTCACGCGCGAGATGCCCCACAATCTAAACTCAGTTTCCGCCAATTCCGCCAACACAGGACCGAATCATCAAGCCTATCCTCAGCAGCCGCACCATCGAGAGAATACAGATGGACTCCAACCCGAGGTAATGTAAAAAAATTGTGTAAGGATGCTGGAGTGACTTGAAAAGTCAGTTGTTTTTTTCCTTTCTTATCGACAAAATATGAGGTTAAATAAACTATAAATCTATTTATTGGCTATATGGATTGTTTTTTACCTGAAATTAGAACGCTTCCTCCTTTGTTAATATTAATACTTTAATTTGTACAGGAAAAAGATTTATCAATCTGTATAGCTTCATATACATCTTGGTTACAGAATTATGAATTCTAAGCATTCACATGTTATTCACGTGACCTTCAAATGACTTTCCAAAGTCAATAAATCAATGGCATTATTTTATGTCCCTTCGAAACCATACAATTTTTATCTAAAACGTTTTTTTTAAAATGCTTAGTGTTTGAAAGAAAAGAAGTGTACGGGTGATCTGAGACACCCGGTATATGTGTATACGCATATGTGTGTATATGTACGGTTATGTATGGTGCTAATCTATCGAAGTTCAGCCGTCACTCCAGCATCTTCTTAAGATGGTTTTTCAATTATGGCTTCCTTACAGAGGAAGCTTAACTTGCACAAAATAAAATGACGTGAAAACAATGTGCAAATTTAGCCTCCTCTATGAGAATAATTGAAAAACCATCTTAATAAGCAAAATGAAATGGTGAGGAAGCAATGTACAATTTCCAATTTGCAAAATTTTTTTCGTGAAAATTTATTTAAGATTTCTACGTAACGTGTTCATAATATTTCAAATTCGAAAATTTACAATTGAAAGAAATTCACATTTTCCAATTCACACCAAATTCAATAATTCTTTAATGATATTTTATTCTTAATGTTCCAAATTAAAAATTTTTCAAAAAATGAACCCTTTTACCGATTTTCGTCAAATTCAGTAGCAATTATCCTTTAATCATAATCTGTTAATATAAAAGAAATTATCACGATATATTAACATTTATGGAAATTATGCAATTACAATTTTCAAAAAATTCAAAATAAAAAATAATCCCTTTCACCGATTGTCTTCAGACTCAATACTAATCATCTTTTAATAATAATTAATATAAAAAAATTTATCATGATTTCTTAAAATTTATGGAAGTTAATGCAATCAATTTTCATAAAATTTAAAATTAAAAAACAAACCTTTTCACCAATTCTCCTCAAACTCAATACCAACCATCCTTTAACGGTAGCCTATTTATATAAACAAATTTAGCCCGATATCTTGAAATTTATGGAAGTCAGAGCAATCACCAACATTTTTGAAAAATTCAAATTGCATTAAAATTTAAAACACTACGAATTTTTATAAAAATGACAGTAAATAATAGCGTTGTATTGCTTTACTTGTATGTCAAGAGCGTTGTTAGTAAAATACTTTTTGAGATATTTAAATTAAAAAAAAAAATAAGTGGCACATACATACACATACATATGGACATTTTTTAAAAATGTGATTTTTCGATATTTTGAACACATTGGCATAGAAATAAAAAAAAAATTTTTTCATGAAAACATAGCTTCCTCTATGAAAAAGCAACAAGAAAGAAAAGTGTGCAAATTGGAAACTTGCACATTACTTCCTCATCATTCTATTTTAAAATCATAACGTAATAAAATTTGAACGTATGTGCAAAATAAGAAAGCAAAATAAAATTTAAATAAAATATGATCTATAAATTAAAAATAAATGAAAACACTTTTGTTTCTCTCTATTCTATCTATTATATCTATATTTTTATTATATGTATATTAAATGGTTATTTTTCAGAAAGAACCGGTGGAATTCGACATTTCGCACTTGCGAGGTGCTCCAGCGGAGGTCGAGACGTTGGTGCACAACATCAAGGAGGTGGCCCAACAATTTCTCTATCACTGGCGAACCTTCCCCATCGTTCTGCCACCGTCATTGTCCTCGTGCACGGAAGGCGAGGACACGTTGGCGCGAAAGAAGTACCATCTGAGGGACCTTTTTGTGGCGCCCAGCTTCGACGAGTTGGACGCCGTAGCTGTCGACAGCAAGGGCGAGCCCAGAAGACTGACCAACAAACAGCTGGAAAGCATCAGGGAACGAGGGTTAGTCTTATATAGATACCTTATAATTTTCTTTTATTCTTACTCCTTTAACGATTGTATTAGTTAGTCGTAATCTTGTATAATTACACTAGTTTACAAAATATATTTTTTTTCATTATTTTAAATCAGGCAAGGTGTTTCTTATAGATGTTTGGATACTGAAAACGATGCCGCAAATCCAGTTTTCATCAGCATGTCAGATTTCCGAAATAATTGAGGTTTAATATGCAAAAAATGATTTTTTGCTATATGAGATTTTTTTGTGTGAAAAGGAAAATCTATCATAAATATTGAATGTATTGTTTATTCCCTACACAGTTGAAAAATTTGTGTTAAATTTAACAAATGTTACATGTCTCAAATGGTTCACAGAAATTTTTGTATTAATTTATTTAACATAATATGGATATATGTTAAATGGAGACACGAATACTGTGTTAATATTTTAACATAAAATAAATGCAAAACTTCAAGTAATTTAAAATAAATTTGATGTTAAATTAAAAATTAACTAAAAAAATGTTAATTTTACATTCTATTTTCCCTACTTATAAAATAAAATTAACATTTTTTCTGTAAATTTTTTAACAAATAAATCTTGTTACTAATAAACCAGAACATATTTATTGTGCAAAATTAAAAATAGATGCACATTGTGTTATTTTTACATTTTTTTTTAGTTGTTTTAATAATTTAACATTTAAGTTTAGTTAACACAACAGCAATATATTAAATTAACATATGAATGTGTTAAATATTTAATACAAGAATTTTAACAGAGACCATTTTTAACAAGAGACTACAATTTTTTTACTGTATATAAAATGCATTTTTTTATTTCGATATCTTACTTTTCAATCATGTTAGGAAAGATTTAAATGCAGAGTTTTGCTGAGATAGCAAATATTCCGCCTACAATGATGCAGTCATATAATTTATATTCATAATTTGTAGTTTAAAGGGCTCCTCGCCGACCATATTGGATTTATGACGTCAGAAGCGAAAAAAGACACGCAAAAAATTCTTAAATACCCTTTCTAAATAAAAAGATAATATTTCGATGAAACAGCACTTCAGATAGTTTTAACAAACTTTTAAAAATAAATTCTCATTTAAAAATGACAGAATTTTCAGCGCATGCTTTCTCGCCTCTGACGTTACAATCTAACGTGGCTGTGCATTTTCGAAAAAAATTCTCCAGACAAAAGTTGTATGATCTAAAGGAGGACAAATAATGGTAAATATTTTTTTCCAAAGAAACCTTCAGAAGTATCTCCATATAAATGTGAGAAGTAGTCTTCAGCTTTAATCTTTCATAACATAGCTAAAAAGTAAGATATTGGAATTTTAAAAATGCATTGTAGAGGATAAACAATACAATTTATGATATTTTATCTTTTCAGATAATGTTAATTAAATTTTACAAAAAAATCTTAAACATTCTCAAGTAGCAAACTGGCGTCATTAGGCGTCAAAATAACGCAAAAAAGCCAATTTTTACATATTAAATCTCAATTATTTTGGAAATTTGACGTTTCCAAAAATTTACAAGAAACACTTTGTGTGGTTTAAAATAATTTTTGGCTGTAAACTAGTGTATTACATTACATCGCTTAGCAACAGTAGATTTATAGACAGTAGAAAAAGATATCGCATAGTGTAATGGTAAATAAATAAATAAATATACATATATAAAATCCGTATCGGGACAAATCTGTTGATTTGACGACATTCAAAAACAAAATAAGCAAACGTGAATTTTATATTAATAGTACTCGTCTCGCTTGCGTTTTCAATGAATGAGATACGCAGAAGTTTCTTTCCCTGTGCCGGATAAATAAAGCGATCCTTGTGCTTCTTCTCTGCGTGTATGTGTATGTGTCTGATGATATGCTCTAACGATTTCTGTAAAGCTTACACAAGGATAAATATGGAAAGCCGAAGAAGCTGAATGCCACTCAATTGGAGAGCATTCGAAGATGCGGGTACGTGTGTTTGCACATTAGCGACAATATTTAAAACATGAATAAAAAAAATATGTTTGAGCAAATAAGACCAAATAGACCGGCGATTCGAGAATCGATTAATTTCTCATCTACATTTCTCGCATTTACAGCATGATACTCCATTCGCATTTTGATTGGTTTAATTTAAATGCTCATTCACGCTTACAATTAGAAATAAAGGAAGATAAATTATTATATAATACTTTTTTTGCGTAATCGAAACTAGAGATTGAGAATCTGACATCAGTTGTCGCATTCAATTGATGTGTACCTAGTTGTTATTTATATTATTAGTTTACAATTAGATTTTTTAGCTCATAATACATATACTATAGGGTACTCTACTTCAATTAATATGGTGGAATATTACTGAAACTAGGATTGTAACGAGAAAATATTTTATACAAAAGTTAAAAGGGATAACAAAGTTGCTGTATTGCAGCTTTTAGTTAGAAACTAAATATACTTTTTTTTAAATTATGTATTTTCTTTATACAATTGATTTCTCTCATTATGTTGTGCATAAAAGTATTGAGGTAAAATTGATCAGAAAATAAATATTTTATGAAATATTTTATAGTTTATGTATATAATTATATTATACATTAAAGTACATAATATCTTTCAAACGATTTATTTTCTAGTTTTCTTACTTTTATAACTTTTTATGCAGAATATTACAAGGAATTGATTTATAAAAAAATTAAGATAATATTCTATTAAGTTTTACTAAAATAGTCTTATTCTTAAAAAAAATAAAAGAAAACTGGGTTGATCTTCAAATAATCTTAAAAAATTATCTTAATTAAAATTCAAACTTTCAAAACTTTTTTCCTCTCTCGAAGTCTCTTCTATGAATTTCGTTACAGCCATATTTTCAGCAATAAGTATTCAATATCTATTAAAATAGGATTGGTAAAACTATTGTAAAAGAAAAGAACCAGTTTTACCTATATAATCAATGTATAAGATTTAACGTTGTAGGATGCCGGGTTAACGTGATCAAATAATTGTACGCGTTTTGAAACGGTTTAATTTAGTTTATTCACTTTCTACAAGTTCGTCGCGTACCTAGACTTATGTTTCTCGGCGCTCGCTCTCTCGAGGACTGACTCGAGGGCTGCGCGAATTTCGGAGCTCGCGTAGGGCGGCAGCCGATCGGGGTCCTCGATTGGACCATCGGAAAATCAGGCGATGTACACACGCCAATTAGCGGCGAGTGTACACGTTGGTTTCACGTGTTTCCTTGGCGTAAACACTAAGGAATTTAACAAAAAACATTCTAGAAAATTCGATCGTCCTCGAGGATTCGATCCGAAGAACGAATCTTCAACATACCGCCCGCCTCGTATGCGAACGAATGCGAAATAAAGTTAAACGAAGCGGGAACGAATCGTCGAGGAAGATGATTACAAAACATACAGGTGAAGACGACTCGCGCTGAGAAAGTCGTCTCGAAGATTACATAACTCTTACAAGTTAGCGGCTTTATCCGTTGCGGACGCGTTAGAGTTATCACGTATTGGCAGTCGGCATAATTGCGCAATAGGTCGTTTCAATGTGGACCGTGCGGTGCGTATGGTCACAACTCGAACGAGTCCATCAGATCCAGGATGGATCTGCTGTACTCGGGCAAGCTCCCATTTGCTCGGAGGGAGCACGGGACTTTTAACTAATACTAATTCGCCTATTGCGAAGTTAGGAGACTGCTTGCACCACTTGTTTCGCTGTTGAAGCGAATGTAAATAATCCTGTGACCAGGCACGCCACACGGTTTCCTGCATGGCACGGACTAGTTGCCATCGCGAGAGCCTACGCGGGTCGATCGCGAGTACCGATTCCTCCGGAACGGCTACGAGGGGCCGTCCAATCAGAAAGTGACCCGGGGTGAGCGCCGACAAGTCACCCGGGTCGTCACTAAGCGGAGCGATTGGTCGCGAGTTAAGGCACGCTTCTATTTTACATAGAAGCGTCGCGAGTTCAGCCCTCGAAAGTGTGTGGGAACCAACAGCGCGCCTCAGATGCGTTTTAAGGCTCTTGACTCCGGCCTCCCAAAGGCCGCCGAAATGTGGAGCGGCGGAGGGAATGAAATGCCAGTTCACTCCGTCGCCTGCGAGCGCGTTTCGCAATTCAGCATCCTTCGATAAGGATTGAAAGTGTCGATGGAGTTCGTGGTTGGCTCCATGAAAATTTGTGCCGTTGTCGCTATACATGTGACGCGGCAGACCTCTTCGGCTAGCGAACCTCTGATAGGCTGCAAGAAAGCCGGGCGTGGAGTAATCTTCCACTAATTCGAGGTGAATCGCCCTTGTAGCAAGACAAACAAACAGAGCGATATATACCTTTCTGGCCTTTTGCCCTCTGCCGACGAATGAAATTACGTGGAGTGGGCCGGCGTAATCAACCCCACAATGAGTAAAAGGCGCCGAAGGGGTGACACGAGCGGCTGGAAGGTCGCCCATGAACTGAGAAGACAATTTAGCCGCTTGACGAGTGCAGACTACACATTTTCGAATGTGCGCCTTTACTGAGCTGCGGCCTCCAATGATCCAGTATCGCTGACGCAGCACACGGAGTACTAGCTGTGTTCCCCCGTGGAGCGTGGATTTATGAGCGCGATCAATTAAGAGATCGGATAAGTGATGTTTCGGAATTATTATAGGATGTTGCTCGTCATAGCTGAGCGCGGAATTCGTCAACCGCCCGCCAAGACGGAGTAAAGAGTCCTCTCCTAGAAAAGGACTCAATCTGCTCAACGAGCTCGAATGCGGTATGGTGCCGTTATTCTTTAGTGAGCGCGTTTCCCGTTCGAAGAATCTCTGTTGCAGATAGCGCAACCAGAAGAGTTCCGCCCTCCTAAACTCGTCGGCGTTCAGAAAGGGGGATTGTTGGGAGCGAGACGCGCTCTTTTCTTTTACACGATGAATAAAGCGATTCATATAGGCAGTCACGCGGACAAGCTTGGTCCAAGTGGAAAACCTATATGGGAGTTCCCAACCCTCGGCCTCTTGAACATGGAGCGTCACAGGCCGTCTTTCCACCGACACCTGCTGATCGGTGACAGAGTCGAGCGGAGCTGAGACATTCAGAATCGGCCACGCAGTTGATGGTTTCTGAAGCCATCGTGGACCGTTCCACCATAGCGGGTGAGTCACGAGCTCGGAGGCGGTCAAGCCGCGCGAGGCACAGTCCGCCGGATTATCGCGAGACGGAACGTGATTCCAACAAACGGAATCCAGACCGGTATGCACCTCGGATACGCGGTTAGCCACGTAGGTGCTCCATTTTGATGGATGTTGACGGAGCCACGCGAGAGCGATGGTCGAATCCGTCCATCCGTATATTGGAATCGGAGGTAATTTCAATGATGTCAAGGTCCACTTGATTAGCCGGCTGAGGAGGACGATAGCGTTCAGTTCCAAGCGCGGGATGCTTACGGTTTTGATCGGCGCGACCTTTGTTTTAGCAGCGAGCAGAGTGATTTGAAACTTCGTTGGCGAAGGAAGCACTCGAATATAAACGACCGCCGCGTAAGCGCGGTTTGAAGCGTCGGCAAACCCGTGGATTTCGAACGCGAGGTTATTGGAATGTCGACCGGTCCAACGCGGTATTCGGACGCGGTTCAATGATTCTAAATCGTTGGTGTAGCTCTCCCAACGATCGCGCAACTCCTCTGGAAGAGGGGAGTCCCAATCACATTTGAGAAGCCATAATTCTTGTAGCAAGATTTTCGCGGTTACAACAACCGGAGCAGCCCATCCTAGTGGGTCGTATAATTTTGCCGTGAACGAGAGAACGGAACGTTTCGTGTGCGTAACCGATCTCAACGGAGTTATCACGAATTTGAACGCGTCCTCTTTAGCAAGCCATGAAAGCCCGAGAACCTTGAGATTATCGTCCTTTACGAGTAAATGATCGGTGACTTCCGGCTGATGAGCCGAAAGTCCTTGAAGAAGAGAGGAGGCATTAGAAGCCCACTTTCGTAGTTGAAAACCTCCCTTTCGCAGGATCTCAACTAGTTGGACACGAGCTTCTATCAATGAAGTCGTATCGTCCGCTCCAAAGAGTGCATCGTCCACGTAGAGGGACTCGCTGAGAATTGGAACGGCCGCGGGATAGTTGTCGCCTTCATCTAGAGAAAGCTGTTTCAGTACCCTCATTGCGAGGTACGGAGCGGGGGCGAGCCCGTACGTTACAGTGAGAAGGCGATAGTGTTCAATCGGCCCATCGGCCGACGATCGCCATAAGATTCTTTGAAAATCCGCGTCAGACGGATGCACGAGAATTTGGCGGAACATTTGAGCAATGTCCGCCGTGTAAACAAATTGCCATTGACGCCAGCGCAATAATATAGCGGAGAGGTCTTGCTGCAGTCTCTGACCGATCAGTAAGTGATCGTTAAGCGAAGTCTTATTGCTCGTTTTGCACGAAGCGTTGAAGACAACGCGCAATTTCGTAGTGCAACTCGAGTCGCGCAAAACGGGATGATGAGGAATATATACCGGCTCGAACTCGGAGCGGTCAGATAATTCCACCTTCCTCATGTGACCGAGTGAATTGTACTCTCGTAAGAACTCGTTGTACTGCGCGTGAAGTTCAGGACGAAGCCGTAGCTTTCCTTCCATTTTATTATAAAGCGAGGTTGCAATGTGCAAAGAATCACCGATTTTTATCGGGAAATCATGCCTGAAGGGCAATCGAACCGCATAGCGTCCCTGAGGGGTACGATAGTGGTTGGCGATGAAATGAGCCTCGCACCTCTCCTCCTCCGTGAGGGGGACAGGCCGCGAGATCTCCTCATCTTCCCAGAACTTCTGGAGAAGAGAGTGCGTGCTTTGTTCCAACACGCAGTTTAATACAGATGCTTGAGCAGTAGTAGTCGGCCTACTATTTGTGGGGCCGGAAAGGATCCAACCGAGAGCGGTCAATTGCGCTGTCGGAGTTCCAATAGGACCTTGACGGACATCGCGCTTCAGAAGCGAGCCGTAAAGGTCAGCACCGATCAACAAATGAATTTGATGTTGACTGGAAGGATCAGGGTCAGCAAAAGATAGACCCTGTAAATGAGGCCACGCATCGAAGGGCTGAATCCGCGAGGCAGCGTATGAAGTAATGCGTTGAAAAATGTAAGCCGTCAGAGGAAAGCTCGGATCGGCTTGAGCACACGGGGTTAACTGTAGCTTTACGCGCGATTTCGCAGTACCCGTGTATTTTTCGCCGAAGCATTTAATTTGTAAATCGGCTCGTTGCCGTTTAGTGCGCAACGCCTGTGAGAGCGATTCTGATATAAAGCTAAAAGTGGATCCTTGATCCAACAACGCGCGAACCTTTAAGCAGCGACCCTCCCCGGTGTGGAGGTCGACCCATGCGGTCGCCAAAAGGACATTTGGATGTTCCTGAAGCGAGGGGGGTACTATCTGGACGGCCGCAATCGTATTGACCGTTTGATTAGTAGTCGCATTAGATGCGGCTTGTGACGCTGATTCGGAGATAGTAGCCTCGGAACTGGCCAAGTTATCGGAGGCATTTTGATTTGCCGCTGAATGCAGCAATGTGTGATGCGAGCGACGACATTGTCTGCACCGATATTTGCTCGGGCATTTCGACGGGAAATGTCCGGACTTTAAGTAGTTAAAGCAGAGTTTATGCTGGCGCGCGAGAGCAAAGCGCTGTGAAGCTGATTTCTTCGCGTAGTCTTCGCATTTCGAAACGTGATGCTCACCGGAGCAACAAATACATTTAAAGGCAGTCACGTTGTTTACTGTTAAACGCGGTTTATCATTTTTCGAAAAACCGGAGTCCTTGCTTGAATCGGCAAAGTCCGACAATCCGCGTATACGGAGAGTTAAAAACTCATTAAGCTCCTGATAAGAAGAAGGCTCATTTCGTTTGATTCGCCTTAAATTCCATTCGGTACGTGTTCTCGCGCTAAACTTTTGCGTTATTGTATAAACAAGAATGTCGTCCCATTGTTCTACGGGACGATCGAGATTTTTTAACGCGGCTAACGATGCAGACACTGTGTCGCGCAATTTTCGCAAATCGCTGACAATCTCGCTTTTCATTACCGGAAGGCTAATAAACGCGTGTAAATGAGCATAGATTAACGCTTGCTTATCGTCGTATTCATTGGTTAACAATTGCCAGGCAGATTCGTAATTTGCATCGGAAAATTTTAAATTATTGATCAGCAAGGAAGCGTCTCCCGTTACGCTCGTTTTTAAGTAATGAAATTTTTGAGAATTTGAAAGAGCGTCGTTAGTTACTACGAGAGATTCAAAAATGTTTCGGAAATTTTCCCAATCGGTTAATTTCCCAGAAAACTTTGGCAGCGCGATGCGTGGCAATTGGAAGCAATGATTATTTGTTTCGCGAACGGAGGAATCGGAACTACGATCGGTAAACGGAATTGTTTTAGGAGATAATCGACTTATCGTATCTTGCAGCAGATCGGCCGTGTCGATGTAGACATCCTCAGCTCTCAGGAACTCTTCCAGAGTGAAATACGGCAAGGTCGTTTGCTGCTCCGTGGTCGTCTTTTGAAGCAGTTTGACATGAAGGCCGCGGCAGGCGGCCCAGTGCTCCTCCAACTTGGCAAGCCTACTTCGCGTCTTGGCGAGTGTCACGTTGGATTTGGCCAGCTTCTTGAAGTTGACGAGATCTCGTTTGATCTCGTCAATACAAGCTCCCTGCTCGATGAGCAGGTCACTCACGGCAGTCGACATGATTATCGATGCCGGACTGTTGAATCGTTTATCGATTATTCGCTACTGAAGCGAAATCTTCAAGCGCGCGCGCGGACTTGAAGCGCCCGCTGATTGACGCGCGAGAGAGAGTGAGAGAGTCCGAGCGCGAGTTAGCGCACCGTCACGTTAAGCCGTTATCGGCTGTCTTTCTCACACGAAGCGATTGCGTGGCGCGTGATAGCGGCGTCGAAATTGCAAATCGCGTGGTTTTTTAAATCTTAGGAACGTCGAAAATCACCGGGATGATCGAGAGAGTCAAGAGATATGCACGACGCGGACGCGTGATAGCGGCGTCGAAATAGCGAGTCGCGCACTTTTTTTAAATGTTTAGAAACGTCGAAAATCAACAAGATAATCGAGAGAGGCACAGAGTGATGCACGACGGCGGACGCGTGATAGCGGCGTCGAAATAGCGAGTCGCGCACCTTTTAAAATGTTTAGAAACGTCGAAAATCACCAAGATGATCGAGAGAGTCACAGAGAGATGCACGACGCGTACGCGTGATAGCGGCGTTCGCGGTCGTTTACACTTCGGTCTGCGAGAGTCAAAAGTCAGTGAGAAAAATGCACTGGTTAAGATTCACCGGTGCGGTGCGCGTGATAGCGGCGCACGTTCACTGAGAGTCACTGTTAATCAGTACGAGTCACGATTAATCATTGAGAGTCACTGCGAATACCGTAACGCAAAGCGCGTGCTTGCGGCGCTTGCGGATAACTCGCGTATGTTCACCGCACTCAATTAAAAATCACTGGCGCGTGATAGCGGCGCCGGAGTTGAGAGTCACTGAGCGCGAGTAGCGGAGTACACGTGCAGTCACTAATCTCGAACGGCGTTTAACTGCCGTCCGAATGCAAGATTGCAAAGCGCGTGATAGCGGCGCTTGCACTGCAAGTGACACTTCAACGTCGAAATTCTGTCTACTCAAATGCAGAATTCGATGTACACCGGGTACGTGAGGGCGCGTGACCGTCACGTGGCCGGAGCGCCGCGGCTTAGGCCGGAGCGACGGCAGGCGCGCGGCCGAGAGAGCCGCAGCTAGAGAGAGAGAGAGCGAGCGAGAGAGCTTCGGAGCGCGCGGCGTGATACCGTCTCTCTCGCTCTTCACGTCTTGGAGAGAGCGCGAGAGAGAGAGAGAGATAGACTGTTTCGGAGCGCGCGCGACGGCTTGTTGTCTTGTAGCGCGGTCTCACTCCCGCACACGGAGTTTTTCTACTCTAAACGAGAACGCGTAATTAGCGTATTTCTCTTGCCGCGGATCACTGCGTTTTTAAATTTACTGCCCCGATATAGGCACACGAGGCAGAAATTGTCAATTGTTCGAATAAGGTACGAAACGAAGGAGCCCGTTCTTTTCGCGATTTCACTATCACTCGATCGGTTTGTAATATCCGGCTCGAAGGACCATTTTTATATGTATAAGATTTAACGTTGTAGGATGCCGGGTTAACGTGATCAAATAATTGTACGCGTTTTGAAACGGTTTAATTTAGTTTATTCACTTTCTACAAGTTCGTCGCGTACCTAGACTTAGGTTTCTCGGCGCTCGCTCTCTCGAGGACTGACTCGAGGGCTGCGCGAATTTCGGAGCTCGCGTAGGGCGGCAGCCGATCGGGGTCCTCGATTGGACCATCGGAAAATCAGGCGATGTACACACGCCAATTAGCGGCGAGTGTACACGTTGGTTTCACGTGTTTCCTTGGCGTAAACACTAAGGAATTTAACAAAAAACATTCTAGAAAATTCGATCGTCCTCGAGGATTCGATCCGAAGAACGAATCTTCAACAATCAATGATAATTAATAATTCAGTATAGATCCTATCGAATAAATATCTTTGATAAATTAGAATATTCTATTTTAATTGAAAAACTAGGAAACTAGGAAATAGATATTTTATTGCTATGTAAATATAGTTTTGTAATATGGTATGTAAAAGTATGCTATCTTTACTTATTGTATATTACAACATATTTATACAGGGTGTCCTAGAATTAGTAGATGTTAATGGCAGATTCTTAAGATCATTTAGAGACGATTTTTCCTCAACAAAAATATCAAGAAACCAATAATTTTTGAATTATAAGCGATTGAAAATGAAGGGTTTTTTACAAACTATCAATAAGCCTTGTGAAGTTAAAATATTAACAAAACACATTCTTCAATTAATTTCAAATAAAATTGATTTTATAATAGAATTTTAATTCAAGGGTTAATTTCAAAAAATCTTCTCCAAAGAATCCCAGAAATCAGAATTCTAAATAGCAAAATGATATATTTTGACGTCAAAATGACGTCATAATAATTATTATTGCTATCTAGGACGATCCGCTAATTCTGGGACACCCTGTACAACTAATAAACTAATAAACTATTACTTTGTAAGATAAGCGCTTTGGCGATGATGTCAATTGGAAACTTTCTGTCGTATCCGTATTTGGCTGAGCGAAAAAATTCTTTTCCGCAGAGAATTTGAAGTGGACTCGATCAACTTTGCCGGACAGACGCATCGATGGCGATTGAGCGGGCTTCTTCAACGTGGCCGAGACAGACGGCGGGACGCGCTGCTGACAGATCTCGCCCTGGCGACTAGGTTTCTCGTCGTGACTGCGAGGGCTAGATTGATCTCCCACTGTTTCAGCGTCTCGCAGTCCCTCAAGGCCTTCATCACGGGACTATTGCGACTTCTCGGTGGGCGATATTTGCATTTAATTGTCATATATCCGCATTAATATCAATATCGACGTATATGATGATCAAAATATAGACTTAACCTTGACTGACTTTTTCAAGGTCAGATCAAGGTCACTTTAACTTTTCAAATGAAAAGGATAAATAATTTTTACGACCAATATTGGCTAATAAATATTTAATAATTACCACAACGTTTTGACCATGGGTTTTGGTACTTATCAAGTGTACTACAATAAAGTAATTACAATAAATTCATAGTAATGCGTAAAAATATATGTAAACAAAACGTTAAACTTTACCTTAAAATAAAGTCACTACATTTTTTATATAAATAGGGTGGGTGATTTCATTTGAAAAATTAAAGTGACTTTGACCTGACCTTGAAAAGGTCACTCAAAGTTAAGTCTATATTTTCATCATGTAACTCCTCTTCATATAATACAACTTTTGTCTAAAACATTTTCATCTATTATGATAATTAAAGAAGAGATATTAAAATGCATTATTTAAAATAGGACACTCATGTCCCATTTGAATGTCTCATAGGGTGTCCTATTTTAATGTCCAATCCCAAATAATTGTATTTTTGATTGTAGAAAAAAATGTTTCAGACAAAAGTTGTATGGTTTCAGGGAGACATAAGGTATGATTACCAAAAATGAATATTTTACAAGATATTTTATATTTTATGTAAAAAAATTGTTAATTTCAAATCTTTATAATTCAAAAAGTACTTAATATAATGAAAAAACACTTTATTATAGGGATTTGGAAAGTTTTCGAGATAAGTTACAAAAATATGCAATGAAAAATAGGTGGCTCCATTTAAGAAACTGAAGGTGACCTTCAAGCAACTATTCAAGGTCAAACTAAGGACATCGTCTTATGTCCTATTCTTAAAAAAAAGAAAAGAAAACTGGGTTGATTTTCAAATCTATATATATAAGCACCGTCCGTCTGTCTGTCTGTCTGTCTGTACCCGAACTACTTCCGCATTTGTGGACCGATTGTCTCGAAATTGGTACCAAAATGTTGCAAATTTTTCGGGGGTGGCTGCTGTGGGTTTTTTTTTTAATTTTTTTATTTTTATTTTTTTCCTCAGAGGAGGGTATGTTTTTGCAAAAAAAATTTTTTTTGCAATATTTCTGAACACATGGTATCAAAATGTTGCAAAATTTTTAGAGATAGCGACGATGCGGTTTTTTTAAGTGTTACACTTCCACCTACTCACCCACCCACGCATTTACTCACATGCATGCGCATTTATGGACCAATTTTCACGAAATTACCGATTTTTTTTAAATCGGTACCAAATTGTTGCAAATTTTTTGGAGATGGAGACGATGCGGTTTTTTCAAGTGTTACACCTCCACCCACGCACCCACCCACGCGCATGCGCATTTATGGACCAATTTTCACGAAATTGGTACAAAAATGTTGCAAATTTTTCTGAGAAAGCTGCTGTGTGGGTTTTTTAAGTTTACACCCCCACCCACGCATCCACCCACGCAATCGCATATTTATGAACGGATTTTTGTAAAAATTGGTACCAAAATGTTGCAAATTTTTTGGAGATGGCGACGATGTGGTTTTTTCAAGTGTTACACCTCCACCCACGCATTCACCCACACGCATGCGCATTTATGGACCAATTTTTACGAAATTGGTACAAAAATGTTGCAAATTTTTCTGAGAGAGCTGCTGTGTGGGTTTTTTAAGTTTACGCCCCCACCCACGCATCCACCCACGCAATCACATATTTATGAACGGATTTTTGTAAAAATTGGTACCAAAATGTTGCAAATTTTTGGAGATGGCGGCGATGTGGTTTTTTCAAGTGTTACACCTCCACACGCATGCGCATTTATGGACCTATTTTCACGAAATTGGTACAAAAATGTTGCAAATTTTTCTGAGAAAGCTGCTGTGTGGTTCTTTCAAGTTTTATCCCACCCTTGCATCCACCCACGCATTCAAACATTTATTCACAGACTTTTTCGAAATTTGTACTCAAATTTTGTCCGGGATGGCTACTATATGATTTTAACAAATTTTTATTACTTTATTTATCCACCCACGCACCCACCCACGTATCCACGCACCCATGTGCATAAAAATAAATATAAATAAAATAAAAAAAAAAATAAATAAAAATAAAAATATATAATAAATATTTAAATATATGCAAAACGCGGTGTAAAATAAAATATCTGGGAGAAAGAAATAGATAACATAGTAGTCATCCAAAAAAAATTTAAACATTTATTTTGATATAAATTTCGTGAAAGTCGGACAACAAATGTGGAAGTAGTTCGCGGTAATACAAAAAAAGAATTAATTTTTTTGTGTTAAACCGGATTTAATATAGGCTATATGAGGACCGCGCTTCGCTAAATTTGCAACAATTTAGTACCGATTTAAAAAAAATCGGTTCATAAGTATGCGATTGCGCGGGTGGGTGCGTGGGTGGAGGCGTAAACTTAAAAAACCCACCCACGCATTTACCCACATGCATGCGCATTTATGGACCAATTTTCACGAAATTAGTACCAAAATGTTGCAAATTTTTCTGAGGAAACTGCTGTGTGGGTTTTTTAAGTTTACGCCTCCACCCACGCACCCACCCGCGCAATCGCATACTTATGAACCGATTTTTTTTAAATCGGTACTAAATTGTAGCAAATTTTTTGAAGATGGAGATGATGCGGTTTTTTCAAGTGTTACACCTCCACCCACGCACCCACCCACGCCCATGCGCATTTATGGACCAATTTTCACGAAATTGGTACAAAAATGTTGCAAATTTTTCTGAGAGAGCTGCTGTGTGGGTTTTTTAAGTTTACGCCCCCACCCACGCATCCACCCACGCAATCACATATTTATGAACGGATTTTTGTAAAAATTGGTACCAAAATGTTGCAAATTTTTTGGAGATGGCGGCGATGTGGTTTTTTCAAGTGTTACACCTCCACCCACGCATTCACCCACACGCATGCGCATTTATGGACCAATTTTCACGAAATTGGTACAAAAATGTTGCAAATTTTTCGCGGTAATACAAAAAAAGAATTAATTTTTTGTGTTAAACCGGATTTAATATAGGCTATATGAGGACCGCGTTTCGCTAAATTTGCAACAATTTAGTACCGATTTAAAAAAAATCGGTTCATAAGTATGCGATTGCGCGGGTGGGTGCGTGAGTGGAGGCGTAAACTTAAAAAACCCACCCACGCATTTACCCACATGCATGCGCATTTATGGACCAATTTTCACGAAATTAGTACCAAAATGTTGCAAATTTTTCTGAGGAAACTGCTGTGTGGGTTTTTTAAGTTTACGCCTCCACCCACGCACCCACCCGCGCAATCGCATACTTATGAACCGATTTTTTTTAAATCGGTACTAAATTGTTGCAAATTTTTTGAAGATGGAGACGATGCGGTTTTTTCAAGTGTTACACCTCCACCCACGCACCCACCCACGCCCATGCGCATTTATGGACCAATTTTCACGAAATTGGTACAAAAATGTTGCAAATTTTTCTGAGAAAGCTGCTGTGTGGGTTTTTTAAGTTTACACCCCCACCCACGCATCCACCCACGCAATCGCATATTTATGAACGGATTTTTGTAAAAATTGGTACCAAAATGTTGCAAATTTTTTGGAGATGGCGACGATGTGGTTTTTTCAAGTGTTACACCTCCACCCACGCATTCACCCACACGCATGCGCATTTATGGACCAATTTTCACGAAATTGGTACAAAAATGTTGCAAATTTTTCTGAGAGAGCTGCTGTGTGGGTTTTTTAAGTTTACGCCCCCACCCACGCATCCACCCACGCAATCACATATTTATGAACGGATTTTTGTAAAAATTGGTACCAAAATGTTGCAAATTTTTTGGAGATGGCGGCGATGTGGATTTTTCAAGTGTTACACCTCCACCCACGCATTCACCCACACGCATGCGCATTTATGGACCAATTTTCACGAAATTGGTACAAAAATGTTGCAAATTTTTCTGAGAGAGCTGCTGTGTGGGTTTTTTAAGTTTACGCCCCCACCCATAAAGAAATCCGATAAAGTCCGATGAATTCCTTGAAGTCGTTGAATTCCTCGAAGTCCGATAAAGTCCGATAAAGTCCGACAAAGTCCGACAAAATCCGACAAAGTCCGACAAAGTCCGATGAAATCCGACAAAGTCCGATGAATTCCTTGAAGTCGTTGAATTCCTCGAAGTCCGATAAAGTCCGATAAAGTCCGACAAAGTCCGACAAAGTCCGATGAAATCCGACAAAGTCCGATGAATTCCTTGAAGTCGTTGAATTCCTCGAAGTCCGATAAAGTCCGACAAAGTCCGGCAAAGTCCAGCGAAATCCGACGAAATCCGGCATAGTCCGATGAAGTCTACGAAGTCCATGAAATCCGATGAAGTCCGGTGAAGTCTTGAAGTCAGAAGTCCAGGTGTACACATATTTTCTGAGTGGTTACCCCCTCGGTTAAAACGGACTTAATATAGGCTATATGAGGACCGCGCGAAGCGCGGTCCGAATAGAAAGGCTTTGAGGACCGCGCGAAGCGCGGTCCGAAAAGCTAGTATATATATAATCTTAAAAAATTACCTTAATTAAAATTCAAAGTTCCCCCGTCGAAACCATACAACTCTTGTCTAAAATATTTTCTTCTATAATCAAAAATAAAAGTTATTTGGAGTAGGACACTAAAATGGGTTACTGCATACAGGGTGTCCCATTTTAACTTACACAGATAATGAAATATCTGTCATGAATAAAATGCATTTTAGAAAAAAAATGTTTTAGACAAAAGTTACAGGATTTGATTTATGAGGGGAAAAGAAGTTAGGGTTATTGATTTTTTCTAAAGGTCAATTTTCCAGGTCATGTTTTTAAATGGAACTACTATAATTTTTTTTTAATATAAAAATTGATTCCTTATATTTTATTATAAAAAGTTATAAAGATAAGACGATCAAAAAATGAATAGTTTATGAGATATTTTACACTTTTAGTTTGACAATTTCATATAAATTATGAAATATAATATATATATATATATATATATATATTTATATCTCGTAAAACACATTCGTTTTTCATCGATCTTATCTAAATACTTTTATGCACATAATAATGAAAGGAATCAATTGGTAAAGAAAACAATTATTTGTAAGAAAAAGTATATAATTTGCAATTAGCAGCTATATATAACTACCCAGATAGCCACAGTAATTATTATGACATTATTTTGATGGTATCTGGGTATCTTATGTCCTCCTCGAAATCATACAACTTTTGTCTGAAACATTTTTTTCTATAATTAAATATAAAAAAGTTATTTGGAGTGGAATATTAAAATGTGACACTTTGTATAATATACATATATGTATTTTGTAGACATTATAATTGGTGTACCGTCGCTCCAAGCGCATAACTTAGATGCCAAGATTAGGGAAGAACGTTGTCGGTACCTGGTGGCAGAATTGGTTTGTCGGGTGAGATATTTTCATCCTGTATTTTCATAATTTTACAAAGAGACTCGCGTCGCAAGTGTCTTTATCATGTGTATAATAATGTCAAATTTTTGCAGCCGGAATACGAGGATTCTCTGGAATTGCTTTGTGGATTCATAAGGAAGCAACTTCGTAGGGCGACTACTGAAAAGTTCGAAGTAGAAAGGGAATCTTCTCAGCTATTGCCCGTCTCGATCCCCTTTGTATTCGGGACACCTAATGGGGCCGCGGTCGATCTCAGATTGTTCAACAGGGACGTAATTAGGAAAGCTTTGCCTACGCTTGTTGCGATTTTGGAGAGAGAGACAAGAGGCTGGTTCCTTCATTTTAGGGAAAGACTGATTTCGGAATTGAGAGCACAAAAGAAACCAGACGAGGAGATAGAACGAGTAAGAAAAATTACATGTACAGGGTGTCCCACATAAAGTGTTACAAGTTGTTTTTTTCGCCATTGTTAGAGATATTAATTTAAATATTTTTTAATTTAATAGAACAAGATGCCTGAAAATTTGATAGAGAAAAAATGTTCGGGGTTTTTAAGGACAAAAGAGTTCTGATTTTTTTAAACGTAATTATTATATTTTTATTATTTTATTTCTGCATAAAAAGTTATAAAGATAAGATGACCAAAACGTAAATAGTTGACGAGATATTTTGTACTTTAATGCGACATAATTTTACATAAACTATAAAATATTCTCGTAAAAAATTCATTTTCGATGATTTTACTTTAATACTTTTATGTACAAAATAATGAAAGAAATCAATTGGTGTAAAAAAAACACATCGTTGTTTTTAAGAAAAATGTAATTTGCAACTAGCAACTACATATTTTTTGTTAAAAACAACTGTTATATGTTTGCTTTACATTAATTGATTTTTTTCATTATTTGTGCATAAAAATAAAGTAAGATCTTGATTTCATTTATTGTCTAGAAAAATCAGAAATTATCAGGGATTTTTTTTATCATGAAAAATCTAGGAATTTTATTTAGAGACTCAGGGTTATTTAAAAAAAGAATTGTGTCTGATAATTTTATATTTAAAAAATATGTCTAACATATCTTTGTAATATTTAAGTTTTTATTAAAATTTCCTGATTTTTTTACTGGCGATCATTTTTTAGTATCAAGATGCTATGTAAGTTTCATTCATAGAAAATTGTTCAATTTTTTAATAATTTTTAAATAATTTAGCTGGACTCCTTAAAACATTTATAACAAATTATTTTCTGTTTTATATTTTTGCACATATCTTTGGCGTTCGGATATAGTGATACATTGCATTTTGTCATTGTTCCAATTACTATACAATATTTACAATAGATTTAATCTTTTTATTTATTTCTATACATTGCATTTTGTCATTGTTCCAATTATACAATATTTACAATATATTTAATCTTTTTATTTATTTCTATACAATTTTATTTTATCTGAAATTTTAAACTACAAAATCTGTTAGGTCAGATAATTTTTTACAAGATTTGAGGAAACACCCTGTTTATATATTTTTGTGTAATAAATAAAGCAATATTTACTACGTTAATATTGATATTTTTAGGAAGTTAATGAAGCGGTGATGCGCGAATATCTGCAAAGGGTATATACAAACATCCTATCCCATCCGGACATCCTCGCATTGGGCGATGGTATCGCTCAGCTGCTGGTTCAACAGGCGCAGTCGGTTGTGTTGATGCACCGGGCGGTGGAGAATATGCAGCGGAAGCTGTCGCAAACCAAAGAATCTCTACGACGCCGCATCGAGAACGAGCACCCGGTCCTATCGCGAATACAGCCGTGGATGCGCGATCGTATGCGAGAGGCCGAAGAGAACTTTATTGAGGAGTGCGAGTGGAGCGCGCACGAAGAGGCGCTGGCGCTCTGCGGTCACCAGAATCTCACGCAAACCATTTATTTTCTCAATCGTGATTTAACCTTTATGAGAGAGGTATAATAAAATAAATACACTTCATTATATTGTATGTTATTATTTCAAGCTTATATTCAATAATAATAACATTCAAAAAATTAAATTGATAAATGAATATTATTAATAGATTTTAAATTCAACAAATCTTTCTAACGAGCTTTCAACAATGATTAAAATAAAAAACTGAGCATTTATTATTATACTTCTTTCATATTAATAATTTAATAAATATTATTGATTAATGAAAATGATAATTATATACATATATATATATAAATATATATACATATACATATGTATATAATTATATACATATATATATATAAACTAAAAAAAATTTCTCAGAGAGAGCCAGTTCTCCTGAAGGAACTGCGGAAGGTGAAAACCCCAACGAGGACTTTCCAATGGCCCACGCAGATCTGGCTACCGAAAAACTGGATAATAAAGCGCAACTTTCAAGGTCAATCGGAGATCATTCCGACCGTACTGAGCAACACTCCGACTTCCATCACGACACCTCGCGCTGACCCTAGTCAGCCCGTTTTCTTAGTCGAAAGGGAGATTGTACATACAACTACGACAAGGTGCTTGAATTAATCTATGAAAGCTGTTAAGCTGGATGCTGTCGTTCGATCTTGTAACGATGTAACGCGATATTACAGGTGGCCGATGTGGCGCTGGATTAACTACATCGCCAGAACATGGTGTTGGACTTGGAACGCGATGTTTTTATTGGGCGTAGCTGTACCGTGGTGCAGTCCGGTATCTTTTCGTGCTCTGTTGCTGGTACAATCGTTCACCCCTGACCTGGAATTGAGTCAATTGAACGGAACATTGTTTCCGAGAAAGTCATCGCAGATGCCCACTCTCTGTTCGCGATTAATAGCGCTTTGGAGGCACATCAGTAAAAGTCGAACGCATTTTGAAACCGAACCAGACACAGGTAAGTTCAGTCTCGATCATATCGTTAGTATTCTATAACAATAACAACAACAACAACAATAATAATAAATCGTAGTAAGTCAAATTGGACGGATGTTTAATTCTTTCTTGTCAACTTTTATTGTAATTTATTATTAAACATTATATTAAAGAATATTATTTATATATATATATATACATGACTTTCTTATACATAACTTAATTCGAATTTTTATATTACTGCTCTTAACTGCCTTTTATCAAATTTATAATAATAAAAACAATAATAGAAATAATAATAATAATAATAAGAATAGTAAGAATAATAAGAATAATACTAACAAGGGAAGGACTTCAACTGTTTCACGGCTCTCGATTCAAAACCTATGCAGAAATGTTGTGGGTGATGCCAATAGCAAATTCTGTAAGTTACAGCCCCTACCTTTGCGTTAAAAAAAATGGTATAACTTTCTCGCCTATACAGGTGTCCCATTTTAAATGTTCCGCGCAAATATCTCGAAAACTATGAAAGACATGAAAAAATGTTTCAGATAAAAGTTGTTTGACTCGAAGGGGGACATAAAATGGTGTCATTGATTTAACCTTGAATAGTCATTTGAAGGTCAGGTAAAGGTTACCTTCAATTTTTCATGTCTTTCATAGTTTTCGAGATATTTGCGCGGAACATTTAAAATGAGACATCTGTATACGCAAGAAAGTTATTATCCCATTTTTTTTAACGCAAATGTAGCTGCTGTAACTTGCAGAATTTGCTATTGGCATCACCCACAACATTTTTGCATAGGTTTTGAATCGAAAGCCGTGAAACAGTTGAACCTTACCTTATAAAAATAAGAATAATAATAATTATATAATAATATTTTCTTAGGATTTATTGGCAAAGGTATGACCCGACACCTAAACAGACTATGGAATTATGGTGCAAAGGGTCTGTTAGGCACACTCATCATATTGTTTATATTTCCCGTGGTATGTATCACGGTGAGTGTCGGTTCGCTGTTGATTGCTCTCACCGCAGCTTTCTGGTAAGTTTAATTTTTGGCGCGACCATTTATGCTTTTGTTGCGGTATTTTTTTTTAAGTCTATTTAAATTTGATTCTTCCATTTTGTCAGGATGCCTCTGGTCACGCTGACGTTGCATGCGTTCATGGCGCTTATCATGGACCTGGATAGCCCTGAACCGAGTCGCAATCGATATCTTGTGGTGATGGAAGCATTACTCTGGAACATTGGCATTCAGGGATGTCTACAACCAATAGCGGCATTATTCGTAGCCTTCGTTCTCTGCCCACTTATTTCATTCGTGATACTTACAAGTAAAGTGCTAGATTTTAGTAATCCAAGTAGCAAACTGACCTCATTGGACATCAAAGTAACGTCACTTTGACATCTAATGACGTCCGACGTTCAATGACGTCACTTTGACGTCAAAATGACGTACGCTTGCTAATTGGGAATACAATTAATGAGGTGCTTATGGAGAAATATAATATCACTTCGCAGTTGCTGTGATACGTTATTGGGTCAGAGTGTTTTGGGACACAGTTATGTTCCATCTAATGATCAAGAACAGAGGTCGGATACCAGCGAGCGATAGCTTTGTCGTGAAGAGAATAGCTGGACCGGGGTTAGCTTCGGATTATTATTATCAAGTGAGTTGTTGCTTCTTTATAAGTGGACATTGTACTATGACCGCCAATTTGGGTGATCCGTGTAAAACGTTATAAATTAATAACTCTAAAAAATATCTGTAAAACTGAACTAATTCTCTTCAGATAAGAGCGGAACAAGCATTGGCCGCGTTCGAAGCGAAATTAGAACTGGACGAATTGCTGGCCTTTCAGCAAGAAACCGAGAGATTAATTACTCAACCGCAGAGGGACTTCACGCAGTTTGTCGAAGCCTGTTTCGGCCCGTTCGCCGCTAGCCTCGCAAAGACGAAGGACCCGTACAAATCCCTCGAGAAGGAAGCCAAAGACTTGATTGCCGTGTTACACGAGAAATTGGACCGACGAAGAAAGAATTTGCAGACAGGTCTCGGCGTCGCGGTGAGGAGTAAAATAAAATTGACTACTTTCGACTTGAAGGTAACTATTTTTTTGCAAATTCTGTATGTGTGTGTTTATACAAGGATAAAATAAAGAGTTATGAATTTTTATCTCCAAAAATATTATTTCTAGAAAAAAATATTTCAAAAGTTAGGATTTCGAGAGGGAAAAAGGTTGACGTTACAGACTTTTTCCTAAAAGGCGATTTTCAAAGTCATTTAAACGTCATTTATGTTTTTTGAAATGGAACTACCATATTATTTCTTACATAAATCGATTGTATATTCGTAATATTCTGCATAAAAATTTATAAAGATAGGACTGTCAAAAAATAAATAGTTTACAAGATATTTTATACTTAACATAATCTTACATAAACTATTGAATATTTTGTAAAATATTTATTTTTCGATTATTTTACCTTAATACTTTTAATATGCAGCTGCTAGTTGCATATTACATACTTTTTCTAAACAACTATGTGTTTTCTTTGTATCAATCGATTTCTCATTATTTTGTGAAAGTATTGAGAACCCAAATAACCAGTGTGAACACAAGTTGCTTTCCTGTTGCTAATAAAGATGTTAGCATCTTGCTACGCATCTATGTTGTCCATTGTGCTGTTGTTTGCTAGCATTTGATGTCGGAAATGAAACATGACAATTAATGCTGACATAATGATAGCAACATATTTATATCTATTAGCAAATTGAAAACATTATATGCTAACTTTTTGTTAACAGTATGCTTATTCAATATGTCTCTTCTTTAGCAAAGCATTTGATTATGACAAAATGTTAACGTTATGCTAACTATCCTTAATCATTCAAACATTTAATTCATATTCTTAGCAAATAACCAACATCAATTGCTAGCATTTTATTTTTATACATTGCTTGAGCATTCTTGGTTATCTGGGAAATTAAATTATTAATTAAAGTATTAAGAAATTAAATATTTTTGACGAAAATTAAATATTTTAATAAGATTATGTTAAACTTAAATATGAAATATCTTGTAAACTATTCACTTTTTAACTATTTTACCCTTACCACTTTTTAAGTAGAATTTTACGAGGAATCGATTTATGTAAAAAAATATCGTGGTTTTATTTGAAATAATATAAATGATCTTCAAATGACTGAAAAAATCGCCCTTTAGAAAAAATCAGTAACGTCAATTTCTTTTCTACTTTTATCTGAAACATTTTTCTCTAAAAACAATATTTTTAGAAATAAAAAATTGTAACGCTTTATTATGTCCAATCTGTATACGAAATGTGTTGCTTCATCATGCTTGATTTTTTCTAAATTTACTTATAACCGAATGAAATTGTAGGTGGTCATACAGCAAGGAGCACAGATGCTGGAACGTTTATATCCCACTCACGTTTTCGCGAGACTGTCCGGGAACGAGGAAGACTTTTGGGAGAACAAGGGTTTAGGGGTGTGCGACTGGGCGGGTCTAGCAGGGCTTATGTACGCCGACATCTTCAGCCTCGACTTTCTACAGCCGCTCGACGACTCCGACACGAAATTCAGATTGGAGCCGCACCCGGGAGTCGATCTGTCCCGGTATACGGACATGGTTCACAGTACCGAGCTCGGTGGCGTCAACGGACCCGATTTGCTCGGTGCGGTTTACGCACCACGCGGGAATATTCAAGTGCACAGTCCGTATCTCGAGGTGTCTGCTTTCAATCCGCGGGCCAAGCAAGCCAGCAACAGCAGAAAGGCTGACAAACGATGGTGATTACTTTTTTTAATGAAATTAAATTAAATTTAATAAGGTAAATAAATTTAAAAAAAATTAAAGATAAATTAAAAATAAATTAAATTTAACAAAATAAAATAAATGATATCTTGAATGTTCTTTGAATCTTCATACACAAAAAAGTTTTTCGAAAATACGTAAACCGCTATCTTTCGCAGCGACACAAGTGGACTATTGACGTCGACGAAGCTGCGGAGGCGCGCGATGATGAGCGACAACAATTCCGAGGGACGCTGGCAGCCGTGGAAACGTCAGATCCGCCCGTATAGCGCGGAGAAGTTGGTGATCCCTCTACCGATCCCGCATCCGGCCCACATAGCGGTGACCATACACAACCGAGACTCGGAGGACCCCATAGCTCTCGACTCGGAATTATGCCAGAACATCCTGCGGGCGATCGAGGAGTCTCCCGGCGAGATGGCGATGGAGTGCGTGAACCGGTACCGGGGCGGCGGCGGCGGCGACTCCAGCTTCGACTCCGTCGCGTCGCAGTCGTCCGTCTCGATCGAAACCGGTCTGGATAAGGGGAACGAGACGACGCAGGAGACCGCGGTCGCCCACGAGAAGGAGAACAGCGAGACTTATCATTGGACTCTGTCGAATTGGGGTGGTGGTGGTGGCGGCGGTATGACGCGAAAGCGAAACAACTCCGGATCCATCAAGGTTGATCTAGCGTCCCCGGAAGACGTCACCCTCGACACAGATACCACCAGAGTGATGTTCAGCACGTACGGAACAACCGTCTAAATTTAATTCGCCATTATATACGTCGAACTAATATGGTTCTCTCGTCGTCGTCGTCGTGTTTATAAATGATTATATAGTAAGTCCTGTTTTGAATAATAATAACAGCTTTGCTGAATTTTGAAAACCAAGGTTAAAAATGTTTCTTACAAAAATTGTGAGATTTTGAAGACATCTTTCCAGGTAGCAAAATGATGTCATTTAAACGTCAAAATGACGTTATTCGATGTCATAATGACGTCACGACGTCAAAATGACGTCATTAAATGTCAAAATTACCTGGGCTTGTTCTAAGCATAATTTTATTCCAGATAGAGGCATTTTTTTTTAATTTTTGTCATTTTTTTTTTAATTTATAGTTTAATATAATTTTCTTACATAAATCGTAATATTTGGTGTATGAAATTGTTAGAATGGAATAGTCGAGAAATATATAGTTTATGAGATATTTTATGCTTTTTTATTCTGATATATTTTGAGAAAAATATTAAAGTTTTGGTTTTCGAAAAATAGCAACACCTTGTATGTAAAATAGGACATTCTGTATAAAGATAAAAGAGAAAAAAGGAGCTGCAACTATAAATTTGAACCCAATCTTAGAGAACAGCCTTTATTGCCATCCAAAATGATATCCAATATTAAAGTCGCATTATTCACTTACAAGTTAAAAGCAATGCAAATTCTTAATCAGTATACCAAAACATTTATTGAAAAATTTTAATCGAATCAAAAACGTAAATTTGAGATATATTTAAAAGAAAAAGTATCTTCCAAGAGAGAACATTATGATGGATCAATTATCATATAAGTATGTACTGTCGAGTAATATCTAGTGAATTTCAATTAATTACATTGCGTTAAAATGTCATCTTTCGCGAATTTTCGTTACATACAAATTTTGTTTAAACTTCTCCATATTACACGTAAATGTTGTGTCAAATTTAATTATTGACATTTTTGGTTTTTTTCCTTTTTTTAGACTTGTATTTGCTTATTATATTATCGGCACTTGGATTTAATATATGTTTTAATATAAGTGGATTCATCGGTTTAATAAAAAATGATGAATCACAAAGTGATGAATGTAAGATTGAAAAATTTTTTTATTAAAAAAATTATTTTAAAATTTGAGAAAAGAATTACAGAGAAGAGAGAAAAAAGTAAAAAGTATCCCAGATTTTAGTGCAACAGATAAGACTAGCAAAGCCTCTCTTTAATATTATATTAAATAAATACATTCGTATTGAGATATACTGTATATAGATAGTCAATTGTATAAATAAATTTGTTAATGTAATATTATTATACTCTGAATATACATTTTCCGTTACGGATATGCTGACTGGCTATTCGCCGATAAAGATATATGCTTACAATTGTATACTCTCATTTAATATTATACAATGATATATAGAATTCTATGTGCTTGCGTGATAATTATTTTACTCAAGCCGATTGTGTGAAAAAATCGAAACTTCCATTATGAAAATATAGTAATGGATATATATATATATATATATATATATATATATATATATATATATATATTACCGATTACATTTTTATGTTTAATTTAACAAATGTACAGAGCATAAATTGAATCATATGTAATTGTAATTCTCGTATAATTTATTTAATTCGGAGACGAAAAATTGCGCTCTTCTAACATGTGTCTAATATATTTCGCAAAAATATTTTAATGTCGTGCGTTCAAGCCTCTCAATGTATACATTTTATTTTTACTAATAAAATTACAATAGATGTTATATATCCTCCGACATTATGAATCGAGATAAACTTTAAACGGTAGCGTGCGTTATTGTGAATTAAAAAAAACGGCGCATTAAAAAAGTAAATGTATTACGATTCTGTAGATATGGGGCGAAATACGTAGCGAGTTCCGGTGCATTAACGACGATGCTAATTAACACCAATAGTGAAACTATTTAAACTCAATAAAACTTACTGTAATACACATAAAGTGCATTCCCAATTTTGATTTAGATTTAAATGAATCTTAGATCTATTCAAGCCCCACCTAAGCAGATAATCGACAGATAATCGAGAATATCTTCCCAAGAGAATCCCTCTCTAATTTAGCTGTTCAGAACAGATATAAAACTATTGATCTCAGGCATGTTTGCGATAAAATTATATAAGTTTGAAATTTTTATTGATAATTAAATTTAAAAAAAATTTAATTTAATAAAAATTAAAAAAGACGCACACCGCAAATACATATATGATAGAAGTCAAAATCCTATAAGAGCCAGAGAATTAAGATTAGCCCAATTGTCAAATAATTTGCATGATTATAGCTCATAAATGATTTAACAGGCTTATATTAAACGTAACAATGATTCAATTAATTTGCGAAATTCAAAGATTTAAAGGAGTTCAAATTTGAAGATAGCAATCTCTAAAATATAAAATAATGTTCGATATTAGTATATATAACGTTTCTTGTTATGCCTTTTTTATTGTTTTTTTTATTACTGTAAGATGACATTTTTAATGTTTATACGAGTCAAATATTTAATTTTATGTAAATACAGCTATCGCAAAACTTCTGAGATATATATTCGGTTTATAGATCGATTACAAAAATATAAATAAAAATTCAAAACAGTTTATCAACGATTTCGTTTTTTTTTTTGTGTGACCGCTAAAGTATTACAAAATATCGCAAGGAAGAACTTCTGGAAATATTATATAGAAATTCTTCAGACAGTTAGAAGCAACGTTATTGGAGTAATTTTGAGATCATCTCTAAAAAACCACGTAAGCTTCATTATTTCTTGAATCTTGAACAAAAATTATATATTATTCTATTTTCTGCGCGCTTTTTTGACAATTTTTTTTTTCAATAGCTTGACACAAGTGCAACTAGCACTTGACTTTGCTTAATTGGTATTGTGAAATGTAAGCAGTGCCGGTCCTGGGTGCTTGGCCGCCCCTGTGCAGACCCATTTTTCGCCGCCCCTTTATTCCGTAAAAATTTGGGACAATTCAAAAATATTCGTACTATATAGAATAAATGAATAATTTCATTTGTAAAATATGTATTGTGTATTTTATTTTAATTATTATTTATAAAGGAAATGACAAACAAATTGTTAATGATACATATCTTTTAAAACATTCTAAAAGTAAATAACAAAATTACTGTAACGTTTTTAAATTAACTCTTCTGGCTTTTAGAGACGCAAATTCGTCTATTATTTTTGACAAGTCTATACTTTCTGATATTTCATGTTCTATAGAAATAAGTGCAAGACTGCTTAGTTTTTCCTGGGACATCGTAGATCGGAGATAATTTTTAATTATTTTAAGTTTCGAGAAACTTCTTTCGCCAGACGCAACGGAAACTGGCAGTGTTAAAAAAATTCTCAATGCAATAGTAAGATTTGGGAAACAAGATAACAAATCAGCATCTACGATTCTTTGTAAAACTTGAAAGGGATTGTTCGATAACGATGCGTCAGGAAAAATTTCCCGGTACGACATTATTTCATGATATAACTGAATACCATCAAAATCCCTTTTTAACACATTATTTTCATTTGATTGGAATTTTACATCCAAATCCATACATGATTTCATTAAGGCGTCATTATCCATTTTTTTGAAATCATATAAAAAGCTAAACAGAGATTCACATTCATTTATTAATTCAAACCTTTGATCAAGAGAATTGCTTATGTGATCTAAAATGAGAAAATAAAAATGTATTTTAAAGCGTTGTTTAGGATCTACAACCGAATCAGCTTTGCTTTCGTTGAAAAATTGACGTGGCTTTTTTATATGGCGAATTATAGGAAATTCTGGTTGTACGTTAATTTTTTCAGCTTCTGTAACGGCATTACTAATGAACGTATTAAAATATTCATCGTTTCTTTTTTTAATAATGTAATTTTTGAGATTTTGTAAAGCATGAACACATTCGGCTAAGCTTATTTTTGGGTTTTGAAGCATTTTACTAACAATATCTATTTTTGAAAGCAAATCGTGCCAAATAATTATAGAACATATAAATTTGAAAGAAGATATCTTTTGTGCCAATGAATGAGCCATATTTTTTGTTTTTACGTCTCGAGTTGGATCATTCGTTAATTCAGTTAAACTGTCAATGATGTTCTTTAGATTAAGGCGTAATGGTCTTATAGCTTTAATTCTGCTTTCCCATCTTGTCTCACTAAGACTTTTAAGTGTTAAATTTGTAATGTGTTTCTTTAAAAGATCCCATCGATATGTGGAAGCAGAAAAAAAGTTATATACTTCCTGAATAATTTCAAAAAAATCAAATATTTCCCCGCTACTATTTGCTGCATCACTTACGACCAAATTCAAAGTATGAGCATTACAAGGAACAAAGAGTGCTCTTGGATTGATGTCTAAGATGCGCTTTTGAAGGCCAATATTTTTACCTCTCATATTGGATCCGTTGTCGTAACCTTGTCCTCTAATATTTTGAACATCTAACTCATAATTTGATAATTTTTCTAATAGGAAGTTATACAATCCTTCACCAGTAGTATCTGTGACAGGATAAAAATCCAAAAAAAACTCGTGTATGTCAACTTCTTTATTTGACATATTTATATTTACACACCTTACAATAAATGTAATTTGTTCGGTATGGCTAACATCTGGTGTACAGTCAAGTATAATAGAAAAATATTTAGAAGATTGCACAATCCGCATTATTTCTTTTTTAATACCTCCAGCTAATAAGTGTATTATTTCGTTTTGGAAATGATTTCCTAAGTAATGTGGCATATGAGTTTTAAGTTCTTTTGACTTTTTAACATTATTTAAGTGATCTAACATAACAGAATCGAATTTAGCAATCATCTCAACAGCCTTTAAAAAATTACCATTATTTCGTTCGTATACTTGCGAATTTGTTCCTCTAAAAGCCAGACATTGACCAGCTAAAAATTGTACAATTGCAATCATTCTTTTAATTATAGCTCTCCAGCGCTCCTTTTCAATGTCAAATAAATTTTTTTCTACCTTGTCAATTGTGCATTTTTTATCTAGTCGTAATTTTAATTCACACCACTTCTTTACACATTGAATATGTTGAATACTAGTTTCATGTTTATTGAAATATTCAGAACAATGCCGCCAATCAGAATATCCATCATTAATTATTTTTATGTTTTCTCTGCTAAATAACTTACAAGGAAAACAGAAAACACGGTTTAATTTTATAGAATAAACAAGCCAATTTCTTTTAACTTTTTCTCCGTTTTCCATAATTTTGTTAAAATATAAAATATTAAACTTTCTACCAGTTTTTTCATCTACAGGAAATTTATAATTATTATCTATATGAACAGGCCCTATTTCTACTAATGTTTCGATACATTTGTTTGGTATGATATTAGGCCAAGTACCTGGGTCATTTAAATCTAACATAGATATGGAATCATCTTCATTTCCAAGAACTTCGTATTTTACTTGATCTTGAATTTCATCCTTTTCTGAAGATGCTTCTACGTCAGTATCCATTTTTCCATCGACATCCGTATCTGGTACTGTGTTTTCAGTTTGAGGAACAGGAAAATCAACATCAGCTGTTATTGGAACATTTTCGGGATTTTCAAATAATAAAACTGATGAAGAATTTTCTTGATCAGATTCAAGAAATTTTTCTAGAGCTCCTTTTAATTGCTGCTGTTCGTTTGCTTTTTTTGCTCGCTTCTTTTTGTAAAACGCTCCAGATTGTCTCTTGGTTTTTCTATCTGCCATTCTAATAATAACAAAATTATAAATATTTATAAAAATTATAAATATTGCGTTGATTTGGAAAACAAAATTTTTAATTTATCATTACTTACTTTTGCTTTATGTTGTATCGATATTCACTATTCACTACTTTTTGCTTCCACTGTATAAATATAATATCTCGCCCGATAGAAATGTCAAATTGCAGACGCAAACAGCAGAAGCTCGCGCTTTTATGTATGTCGTGGAGCAGATTAGCACATACGCCAAGCGTGCTGTTCTGCTGTTTGCTGTTACAATTTGGCATCTCCGCTGTCGGGGAATTCTCGGCATCACTGCATTAAACAAAACATAATCGCTTGCCCAGTAATCAGTAATATAGACTCTGCTGGAGACTTTATATATATTATTGATTAGAGAGAGAGAGAGGCAAATTGATGAGAGAGAATGCTCTTATTATAATTAATGTATATATTTTTATTGGAATTTATACTATATTCTATTGATTATTTTTACACATTATTATTGTTTTACAAATTGTGATTTTGTTTTCAATTTTTGTAAAACATTAAGACTCCGAGGGCGGCCTTTCGGCCGCCCCTCTAAATCGGCCGCCCACGTGCGGGGCACGCGTTTGCCCTCCGCTAGAACCGGCCCTGAATGTAAGCTTATTCGATTGAAATTTTTCCACATGATATGCCCAATTTTGAATTTCTGGATTGTAGTTTAGTCATTTAAATGATGATTAATTTTAAGACTTAAATTATTAAGACTTAACAAGAAGAGAGAGTAAAAAAAAAGTTACAATACATATTAAATAAACTATACATCTACATTAATTTTAATAATTCTTTCTCAATTTTAATTTAAGCATATATTTATTTATCGTACACAAAAACTCGCAATTTAATTGCCACAATGTTGAGGGCAGGTAATATTAAATATATGTTAATTTAAAAATGTGTTTTCTTTAGTGTTCTATTTAGATAGTGTACATAGTGCATGTGTGTGTTGTGTGATTAAAATTAATTATCCACAATTTAAATAATAGGAGCAGTAGCTTTTCTTTTCATAATTAATCAAATTTCTTTGCAGCATTGCATGTGATAATAATTTCTGGCATTGTTTCTAATATACTGGTAATGACACTCAACTTAGAGAAGTCAATAAATAAAATGAAAAATTATCTGGAGCATATAATGGTTTTACAACTTCGTTGTACAAGGTATGCAAATCAATAATATTCATAATATCTTATACTATCAGCTTTGAGTATTCTAATTTGTCATTTTCATTTTGTTTACAGAATTTATCAGAACATACAGACACGAATATAATAATGTCTCCTTTTAATTTACACACAATATTACATGCACTTTCTAATAGCTCAGATGATTCCACAATGAATGAGCTAAGATCTGTTCTGGGTTATGATAATAAGGACAATTTTGATTTCGAATATTATTCTCTACTCTATTGGTTAACTGTAAGATAAAAGGCAAAAATAATAATAAAATGCTATAATTCTTCTGAGAAATGACACTTAAATCACATTTAAATGTATTTTAGCATAAGAAACGTAATCTCACATTGAATATAATAAATGCAGTAGTGGTTCCACAAGGATACTATCTAGATGAAAAGTCTATCGAAACATAGATGTTTTGGTATAGAACACTCCTTACAGAATTTGATTTCAAACTTACTAAATTTAAATATAAGAGTTTTAACAAGGCTCTGTAATATAAATATAAATTTAACGTATAAGACGGGCAACAAGAGCCAAATCGCGAATGACAATGCGTTATCCTAACGAAACTAAATAATTTTTCGTTAGAATTAAATACCGGTGCACAAGGCACCAAATTTTTACTTGGACACGGCCAAGATTTTAAATATGAAATAATCTCATATTTTGAGATTTAATTTCAATACCCCTTTAACCCCCCTACGGAAAATAAATAAATGAAATTACTAAATTTAGTCCAGGTATGTTCATATATATGTGATTAACAATAAAATAGAAATTTTATTAAGCATTTTCAATAATACTTTGTGTGAATAAATTTTGGTATAGATACAAAAATTTTGTTGCAAAATAGTATGGTCTTTAAAAGCGAATGGCAAAAACCGTTTGATGAAAAGATACAAAGCTACGTATCTTTCATATTTCAAAAACAAAATCATATCTCGTCCCAACAATGTTTTAAAAAGGACAACATCTTTATGGTGAAATTCCAGCTTGGCATACAAAATTTATCGAAATACCATATTTGGTTAATATAATTATATTATTATTTGTAAACAAAACTTCCAAGAATAAAAATAATAAAAATATATTAATGTTACAGAATGGTGAATTTGTAATGATAATATTACTACCAGATTTGGAGATAGAACTGAAGGATCTAGAAAACAATTTTAATTGGGAAACATTGGTAACTCAGGTGCATGAATGCAGATTTGCTTACAATTTCAATTTGTATTTGCCTAAATTTAAAGTTAATATTACCAGGGATGTAAAAGATGTTCTGCTAAAGGTAAGCAATCCACATAGCAGAGTAACGTCATTTAACGTCAAAATAACATCATTTTGACGTTTATAAACGTTAAAATGATGTTATTTTGACGTTTAATGACGTCAGTCTGCTATCTGGAAAGTATTAACGATATGTTTTAAATTGATACAGAGAATGAATTAAGATTAATTCTTTAAAAAATAAAAATTACTTGCAGATGGGCTTGAACGCAACGTTCAATGATAACGCGAATTTTACACGTCTCGGAAGAGTACCATCAGCAACACCTGAAAGCCTATTCTCAAAAGCAATTATAAGAAAACTAAAAGCAGTATGTTACACAAAATTTGCATAGAAATTACTCACACAGCACAAAATTCAACAGAAATTTAAAAAATTAAAAATTTTAGCATCAAGACGCGGTGATGAGAGCAGCGCGCGCGTTCGATGATAACGTGAATTTTACACCTCCTCTAGCAAAAATGCATTTAAAAGTGAACAGTGTGATTCACAAAAGTTGCATAGAGGTTCAAGAACATACAGAAGCCAAAGATAAACCAGGTAACATAAATTTATCAAGAGACACGGTAGTGTCTCGAGTCTCGCGCCTAGTTGAGGCAAAGCCGACTTCTCGCTTAAGAAGCGAGGCATACTACTGTGTATCTTTACGTATAAATAACAGCAAAACTCTATGCAAATAAAAATAACATAATCATATTACAATAGAAAATTATTAATTGTAGTTGCTGAAATGACATCGGAAAGAATAACAATTTCACCAAGAAATTTTGTAATAGATCGTCCATTCATGTTCGCAGTCATGCATAAACCAACTAATCTTTCACTAATTTTAGGAAGCGTGCGTGAACTAAAGTCACAGCAGTATAAGTGTTATGCTAGGCTGAAGTCTCCAATAGTGAATAAGTTTAATGATGAATTATAAATTTTATTGTTTTATTATGGAGTTTATAATATACGTGCATGAACAGTAGATTTAATTTTTTGAAATTTTATTTTATTATATAGGGCGCTATAGGGCTACGTATTAGTAAATATATATTTTTTGAAAAATATACGCTTGTGCAAGATTGATCAATTATTATTTCCTTACAAATATATGAATTGCTCACACAGAATATTATTCGAATGGCTTATTTGCATTTATATGCATCGTTTGTAATCGATTAATACGCATATCTGAAGCTATATTTTTAATGTCCGGCTATTTATAGCGTTTTCGATTGGGGTGCACTGGCTGCACTGAATGTCAGGCGCGTGTTCGATTGGTAGTGCCAATGCGCACTTGGCTAGTGTTGCGTGTTCGTTTGAACGCACAACACTCGCATAGTGCGCACTCAGTGCGCACTAAGTGGCACGAGATATTTTGACGGTGCCAGTTCAGTGCACTGGATGCATGCAAGCAGTAGGGCATTCTTTTGAACGAAAATTCGACATAATGAGCAATTCGGATTTGGCTCTCTTTAATATTTTGGAGACATTTTTGGAATCTTCTTCTAGTTCAAGCGAGCAAGAAGAAATAATTACAACTCTTCGAACTAGAAGAATAATTCCAAAAACTGTAAATTATGTAGAATGTGTGAAAAAAATAGATAATGACACCGTAAGTGTTATATCTTTTTATATAAACATCGAACCTATACCCTTTTTTAAAATATAATTAATGTACTTAATGTAATAGCATTTTTATACTGAATAATAATAATTTTTATATTTGTCATACGTGATATTCTTGATCATCTTCTATATTTAATTACATATAATAAAAATCATTACTTAACTGAACACAAGATGTCGAGGTTACTTTTTCGTTCTTCCCGGAATCTAGTCAACTCAAGTGGCACTGAAAATTTCGGCGTGTTCTTTTTCACCTGCACTATTCAGTGCTACCCATGGAACTTGTCCAGTGTTCGTATGAACTGAGTGCGCACTGGTGCGCACTAACTTTTTCCCAATCGAAAACGCTATAAGATGCTGGAACTAGAAATGGAAAAACAAGGTTATACAAAAACAGCAGACCAAATAAAAAAATTGCAATATTATTTTCCACATCTATTTCTACACAAATGAATATAATAAACTGCTTTCACTGTAAAATCTGTTCCAAAATTCACTCAGTTTGAGAATCTATATGCTCAGTGTTTTAATACGTACTAGCTTCACTATAGCTTGATTCGTATTAAAAAGGTGGTACGGTGTAAACATGGCCGAATCAACGTTTAATAGCGTTTTTCATTGGGAAAATGAGTGCGCACTCAATGCGCACTAGTGGACCATGTGTTTCATTGGGAATTTCAGTGGACACTAATAGCGTCTTCCATTGGAAAAAAACTCGCTGGCACTCAGTGCCCCCTAGTTTTTAATTTTTTATGGAGATTACACAAAACGCCACCAGTTCTAAATAGTTTTACACTTTCAATGAAATAAAGACATTAGAACTCAGTTTTAACAAAAACGGCGCAGTGTTGAGAGGAAAAGACTTTGAGGTTAATTAGCACAGCTGCCAGCTGCATTTATCTGGATCTCTTTTTTTTTTTTTATATATATTTTACAATGACGAGTGAAAAAAACGATTTAAAAGCTATTTACTTAAAAATAAACTCATTAGAATCAATATGTTGTGAAGTGGACAAAAATACATACTATCGATTGAAACGTAAGTAAATTATTTTTTCTACGATTAATGAGAATGTTTGTTGATTAAGCACAATTCGTAGATTTAAAACTTATTAATTACTATTACCTAAATAAATTCAGCAAGAATATATATTTTATAGATATCAATAACTATGCGGTGGATTTTGTTCTTCAATTAGTAGAAAGAGAAATATTAAAATTAGAAGAAAGTATAGTTTCATTAGCTCTTTCTTTTGATGATACAACATTGTAAGTACTTGAAGCTCTATTAGTTATAATCAACAAAATATATAAAATTTATTATATTATATATATTAATATACTATATATATATATATATATATATATATATATATATTATTTATATATATATATATTGTATATGTATATATATATATATATTTTATATATATATATATATATGTATATTAAACTGCTTAATCCTTTTATTACAGTATTCCAGTGGTTTTAAACAATGATTGTGGTTTAACTTCATCAAATACAGAAATAAATCTTCAGGATGAGAATATTTTTACTGCAAGTCAAAATGATGTTTGTACAAAAAAATTAGAAGATTGCAATGATGATAGTGGTATATACTACACATATATGTTTACTATTATACATCTAAAATTAGTAAGTTGAATGATAATGCGTTACATTCTCACAAATTTCTTTTTACAGATAAATTATGGACCATCCCTGAAACGAAATTTCTGTTGGATAAATACAATTCATACCTTTCATTAGTGGGTCCAATGAAAAGGTACAAAACTAAAAAAGTCATGTGGAACCGAATTGCCCAAGATTTAAAGGAAATTTTGAACATTGAACGGACTGGTGTGCAATGTGAAAATAGATATAAAACGGTTATAAAAAGAAAGAAAAAATCAATAGATAATAACAGCAAATCAGGTTCTAGCAGAATGGAGGTTGAGTATGAAGAAGAACTGAAGAAAATTTCAGCAGCAGACGATAGTATCGAACCAGAAATTTTAAGAGGTGTAACAAACATCAAAAATAATGTAGCATTGAAATCGTGCAATCTAAAAATATCAAACACAGAAGTTAAAAAGAAGACTAAGAAATCTTTGCAAGATATTTTATACGACATTAATGAGAGAAAAGAAGCAGCAAAACAACGTCGTCACAAAGAAAAGTTAAAATTATTAAAAGAATTATGTAAGTTTAGAATACTTATTAAAAATTGCCAATAATAATAATAATCCTATTAAGACAATATTTCTAATAATCCTATTAATATTTCTAATAATCCTATTTAGACAAGAAAGGATGCAAGGATCAAGAAAACACGTCTGAAGAAAGTGATAACCAGGAAAATGAAAATTAATCATTATACGTTTATATTCAATTTAATTTTAATTTAATTCCAGTTAATTAATTTTAATTTATTTTAATTCAATACCAGTTAATTAATTTCAGTTTATTTCAATTCAATATCAGTTAATTAATTTCAGTTTATTTCAATTTAATTATAGATTGATGTATAATTTGATGTTGAAGACAGATTGATGTGTAATTTGATGTTGAAGACTGATGTATAATTTGATGTTGAAAACTGATATATAATTTTATGTTGAAGATATGTATAATTTTATATTGAAGACAGATTGATGTATAATTTGATGTTGAAGATTGATGTATAATTTTATGTTGAAGACTGATGTATAATTTTATGTTGAAGACTGATGTATAATTTTATGTTCATTCTTACGTTTATTTTATTTCTTAAATACACAATAACTACAAATTAAAAAGTAATTATGATGAAAGCTGTTGACAAATGTCATCTTTTTTTATTTGTCCTAATCTTGTATAATGCATATCTTGCGCTGTCATATGTTCATATTCAGGGTATTCATAAGGATTTTCATCATGGTATTCTTCATTAGGAAAAATGTCATCGTAGTCGATGCATAAATTGTGCAGAACGCAACATGACATTATGAACTTTGTTATTTTATCTACATCTTGAAACTCTAATTTTATCAAGTTTCGAAATCTGTTTTTTAATAAACCAAATGTGTTTTCTATTAAAACTCTAGTACCTGAAAATACTTTATTATAATGAGTTTTATCTACGGATAGGTTTCCATAGTCCCTATATGGAGTCAAAAGCCATGGCTTTACAGCATATGCATTATCTCCTAATATATGGTAAGTATTGCCACAAATATCGAGTAATTCTTGGCTGATAAATGAAAGTTTATAGACTCTTGAATCATGTATTTTCCCAGGAGGACCTGTGAAGACATCAATAAACTTCTTTTTGTAATTGCAAATTCCTTGCAGAGTTATTGAAGGGAGATCATGCCTATTTACATAGGTCGATTTGATTTTATGAGCAGGCGTTCTAATATGAATTGATGTACCATCAATACAACCAAGTGTATTTGGGAACCCAGATATCTTAAAGTAAATGAATAAAAAAATAAAAGTTAAATTACATAAATTAAACAAGAGATTACAGTTACACATATGAATGGTTTGTACATCTTACTTCATAAAAATTCTTTGCAGCAGATTTTTTTTCATCATCTGTTTTAGGAAATTGAATCACTTCTACTGCAATGTTTAATAAATAATCCATTACTCGATTCATTATTCTGAAGAAAGTTGACTCTCCAATATTGAATCTTTCGGCGACATCTCTCATTACACATTTATTAGCAGCATACCTATAACATAGCTTACATATTTTATAGTAAAAAAAAATCCTATTTGTTATTAAAAATGTACTAACCATACAAATGATAAAATGTGAATTTCTGCAGAAATTCGCCTACTCCCATGATCTTCTCTGCAGTATGTTTCATATATTTCACTATTTTGGAAATTTTCAATTAATATAGAACAAGTATTTCTTTGTAATCGAAAATCACGTCGAAACTAAAAAATAAAATTATAAAAAGTTGTATGTATATATATATGTATAATGTAATAATATATGTGGATTGTGTGTGTGTGTGTGTACACATACACAATATTATCACATTATACATTTTTATCAAAAAACCTTAAAAAATCAAATATTATAACCTGCTCATCAGTCTTTAGATGAATAGTATCCAAATAATTTATAATCTTTGGTTTTATATTTTTCGAATTTGTAATTAGTAATACTATTTCATCTTCACTTGATGAAGACGAAGATTCTAAAAACTCGTTTGCTAACAATAAGTTCATTTTTTGTCACAACAGTAAAGACTAGATGGAGTAATTCAAATAGTGTGACACTGAAGTGGCCCCGGCCTCTAACCTCGGGGCCACTTTTATTGCACTCAGTGCGCACTGAGAGCATTTTGCACTCTCAATGAAATGTGCTCCACTCAGAACGTGCAAACTAAAACTACCAATGAAATACGCTTCAAGCACTCAGTGTTGCCAGTGCTAGCGAGTTTTTTCCAATGGAAGACGCTATAAAATCATGCGTCGTGTTTCATTGGAAAATGTAGTGTCGAGTTTTTGCATTTTCGTGCACAAATTCGGTACGACCTCAGAGAGATGGTGTCGGTTGAGTGTAATACATGGCGGCACAGAATAGAGATGTTTTGAATGAACAAACGTAGGTTTGTTCTTTATTGCTGCACTGAGTTCACAGTGCACTGCACTGAACGGAACTAGTGCAAGCAGGACAAGTTATTTGTGAGCAAGTATAAAGAACGCGTCAGTGTAATAATCAACATGGCGATGATCTTAAATGATTTATTTGATTCTTCTGATGATGAAGAAAATAATATGTTGTTTCCATTTCAATCTATTATGCGTAACGATGACGATGGTATGTATATTTTATATGCAATATATTATTATATTATAAAAAAATTGAATTTTTTTTTAAATTAATTTAATCTAATGTAAACTAATCTAGTAAGTATAATTTTTTATTTGTAAATTTTTGAGTTACACATGTTACATCCAATTTTCGAATTAGTGCAAAGAATTGAACATGTGAAAATAAACAATTATATGGAACATATTGTTCATAATTATAATAACGTTGATTTTATCATGAATTTTCGTTTGTCAAGAAGAGCAGCATATCAATTAATAGATCAATTTACAGTGTCGGAAATATTTACTTCTATACAAGGTATGTATTTAACGAAATCTATTTAACTTTAGATATACACTGCAACAAAATAGTAAAAATAATACTTAAAAAATGAAAATAAAAATATTTTAATATTTTCTATATTTTTTCAGAACGTGTACAAAATAATAAAATTAGCGCTGAAAAACATATTTTGTTATTTATGGTTTGTGGGTCATCAAACAGGATCTTATCGAGATATAGCAAATAGATTCGGAATAACAATAAGTGCATTACATACAGTAATAACAAGAGTAACCGATTTTATTTTAGTTTTAGCGCCTAATATTATTAAATACCCAACTGATCTCGAAAAAGAACAAACTTCAAACTTTTATCTATAACAAAAACGATTTCCTAATATAATTGGTAAATATATAAGAGTATATTCTCACATTTTTAATGTAAAATATTTTGCTCATTGAAATCTTCTTATTATTGAAATTTTTTTCAGATGCTATCAATGGTTCTCAAATAAGAATAGACAAACCTTTTGAAGATCTTGATTCCCTTGCACTTGAATAGAAAAATAATGTTTCCGATTTATATAGGAATATAAATCGGAAACATTATTTTTCTATTCAAGTGCAAGGGACAGTTAATCATGACATGAAATTTATTGACGTATTTATTGGGTATCCAGGTTCCATTCACGATGCAAGAGTTTTAAAAAATTCAACACTATATAATGATCTACATAATATTTGTGGAGGTAAATTAGAAAAAAATTGGTTTTATAATATAAATATATCAATATATATAATATAAATATATCATACATTATATATATATATATATATATATATATATATATCATTATATATATATATATAACAGTTTGAATCGGGTCGGATTATAGTGAGCACTCTTACAATGGAAATATCAATAATAATTGTATAGGATAGGGTTATTGGTGTTTTTACCGTAAGAATGCTCACTATAACCCTACTGTGACTCTGACCCGATTCGAACTCTCGGTGGAAACATAGTCATATACATATATATATTACATACACAATACATATTATATATACATACATATATATATATATATATATATATATATACATATATAATAATAATTTTCAGATAATTATTACCTGTTGGGAGATAGTGCTTATTCATGTTTGAAACAATTGATTGTTCCATATAAGGATAACGGATACTTGACACGTGCACAAAGATCATTCAACCAGAAACTAAGCTCATGCAGAGTTTTTATCGAAAATGCATTTGGCTGCCTTAAGCAAAGATTTCGTCAGTTATACCATTTTAAATTGTAAGATATACCACGAATGGTACGAGTCATACATGCATGTTGTGTATTACATAACATTGCGAATGTGCAAGACCTACACTATTTTGAACCACTAAATGACGAAAAAGCTAAATGACGAATATCCAGATATTGAATTACAAAATAGACCCATTGTAGTGATCGATAATGTAAGGGAATATGAGGATGATGTGAGAGGGAACGTGTTCGTGACGAAATCTGTAATTTACTATCTCGATAAAAAAAAATGTCAAATATTTTGAAAAAAGGTAAAATTCTTTTCTCGACCGTACTGGCAAATATTATTTATTCAATCATAACGTTTCGACCCTTCTTTGAGTCCTTATCAAGTAATTTGTAAAAATAAAAATAAAATTATAATTTTAAGATGTCAAGAACGAACATAGTGTCGGTTTGACAACACGTCAAGACTAACTCGTCTAAATAACTGACGTGTTGTCAAACCGACACTATATGTTCGTTCTTGACATCTTAAAATTATAATTTTATTTTTATTTTTACAAATTACTTGATAAGGACTCAAAGAAGGGTCGAAACGTTGTGATTGAATAAATAATATTTGCCAATACGGTCGAGAAAAGAATTTTACCATTTTTAAATTCTGTCTGGCGATTCTTAAATATCTACGTTCAAATATTTTGTATTATAAATTTTTTATTTTGTAAAATAAATATGTATTATATATATTAATAAAAATATGTATTATATATATTATAATATATATTATTATAATATATTATTATAATTGTTTATTTTATTATAAATTTTTTATTTTGTTATAACATAAAGAAGTTATTTATTAAGCTAATATTTAAAACAAAACAAAAGAAACAGTATTGCATTAAATTGTGCAATAATGCCAAAAACAAAACAAAAATAAGCTATAAAATTTTAAGTCTTTATATATAACTTTTAATTAGTTATTTAGTTTTTTTTATCAAGAAAAGCTTTTAATAAATTATTTCTTTCTTCTCTCATTTTGTTTGCAATTATTAATTGCTCCTCTACTTTGTCTAAATACTTTTCATATGATTGTCTCATTTGTCTATATTCCGCTAATATCTCTGCTTCTCTTTCAATTTTAGCGTGCTTTTCTTCTTGAATACGATTTATCAATTCTTTCATATTTTCTTGACACGTTTTCATCATAGTCGATTATTCCTCTCATTCTTGACTGTGATTGGTGAATTTCTTAAAGCTTAAAGCTTGCTACACCTGTGTAGATCGGCCTTATGCGATTGGTGAATACTGCAGAGTTTCTAGAAAAAAATCTAGGGAGTCTAGAGTAGTATTTCTAATCATGCGTCTTGTTAGCACACGTTAAAGTCACTAGATATGGTGACTTTAAGTAAAATTTTGTTTATGAATTTTATACGTTTATGACCGATTCAATGAAAATATATATAGAGGATTATATAATATATTCACAAAAATGTGCATCTTTTTTTTTATACTCTCTTATTATGAAAATTATTTTCTCTTTCGTGATAACTAACTGTAACACGAGTGATAATTACGAATAAAATTATTCTCTCTCTCTCTCTCTCTCTCTCTCTCTCTCTCTCTCTCTCTTTCTCGATAGCATATTGGTGCTTTCCATTTAGCAACACAAAACGACACAAGCGTCATTCTATCTTTGTTCTACATTCTATAAGAATAAAGATAGAATCATGCTTGTGTCGACTTGTGTTGCTAAATGGAAAGCATCATATGTTTACTCTTTTGTGTATCGATTCTTCGCGCCATTTCTAGAATTAAATATCAAACAACTACACAATGACAGGTAAGCGTCAGCAACAAATATCTAACAATATAAGATAAACAAAACGAACGACGA